CTTACAGCCATGTTTTGGATGGATTCATAAAACTTCGTTGTATTTAGAATACTGTAAAAATACGAACACCATTGTGTTTGTTTTCAGAATGTTTGTAACGAAAATTATAATTTGGAAAGTCGGGAATATTAGATTTATCATTCAGCCAGGTTTCATTAAGCAAACAAATATCAATTTGTTCATCTAAAAGTAACTGTTGTAATTGTGTTTTTTTGCTCTGTAAACTCTGTATATTATACTGCACTAAGCTGTACTATGTGTAAATAATTATCCATTAAATTAAGTTAGTATAAATATTTATTTTATGTTCTTTGTGGTCAAGGAGGTTTCATCACTTTTATTGCCTAAAGCTACTAAGACTTTAACAATAGCGTTAATGATAATTCATTAATAATTTCATTGTTAGATTAATGTCGAATTTGTCATAATTCTTATTTACATCGTTCAGAGGTGGATAAGCTTTAATGTCGGCTACTGCTGGGGGAGAACTCACCACAGTGGTATAGCTTTGTAGACCGTATTTTTTCTTATTCTCTTCTATTTTCTGTTTTTTTATGAGGCAGTCCCTGGATATTGCCAAGTGGTTACCGCTGCAATTGATGCATACAATTTCATCGACATCGCACTCCTTATAGGAGTGATGCCCAGCACAAGAGGAGCACATCTGGTTGTTTCTACATACTTTCGCTGAATGGTGAAACTTCAAGCACTTGAAACATTGTAAGACATGCCAGTGATTCCTTTAACATTTTCTGTGAAAAGTTTAGTCAACGTTATGGAGTTTTTATTTCCTATTTTGTCTTGTTCGGTACATTCGACATCTACGGTAAATTCTCCTGTATAGTTTCCACGAATAAATAATCTTTTGTAATTAGGCTTTGTATAAATTTTGTGCTTATCATTCTCCTGTTGACTGGAGTTGCTGCCGGATACATCAGTATATTTCCTTTTCTTCTTTTCTGCTGGGTCCCACTAAGGTGAGGACCCATCTTCAAAATATGACAATTTGTAGTTAAAAACAATTAAGAAAACTAATAAAAATTGAAATTAAACTCGAGAGGGAAAATTAAATTTGCCGCTCAGTTCGACTTCCCGCCTTCTTCCCGCCAAAAAAGTCATCGGTTACAAATTAACGTGGGATGGCCATAGTATGCCTAACAAATATTCGTCGTTGAAATTTCAAATGCATTTATTTCAAAATCTATATTTTGTGAAATATTTGTTTTTCCCAGTATAACGGCGATGCTTTATTTATAAACCACAACTAATAAATTGGTTACAATATTATTATATACATATATTTAAGTAAGTCGAAATTATACAATAACAAGATTTTATACCTATTGCCTTCTAAACAACCCTTATCCTGTATCTGAGGCAAAAAAATGTGCCGTTATTAAACAATGCGTACGTAAATGAACATATTTAAGGATAAATTTCTAATTCCAATACACACTAGCGTAGCAAATCGTTGACTCATATATGGTTTGAGGACAAGAATGACTCATACATGAAATGCAAATTGATAAAAGTGTATAAACAGTACCTACTCTCGGTCCCGCAGTAATTCCCAACCTATGTACGTACGTTATCTTTATCTGTGGGTATTCTATATGAATAACTGCTTCCCGCTAAGTTATGGATATAATGAGATAAGTGACAATCATATATGCAAGTGAAATGGCAATAGTCGTATTACAAATCTATTTATCTCTGTTACAGCCTTATTTGCGCAGTGGTGGGAAAATAAAGCGCGAAGGCCAGCTGTCATGTCCAGAAAAAAAAAGTTATTTGTCAAACAAAACTCGCTCTGCACTGCAAGCTCGTTCTGGATTAATCGCAACAAAACCCGAAATATTTTAAGATTATTAACATGAACCTTTTGTTTTATTGCCTCTAAAAGGCTCAGTGTAAAGAATGGCAGGTGTTTTTTATGAGAAGTGCACCAGTGTGCGTACAAGAATGAAAGTTATAGTGTTGGTGATTCTATGTCTATTGCCGAATAGATTACTCGCAGAAGTCAGAGATACGGACCTCACTGAAGAGTCGGAGAAACAGTACAGTCTCAAAATAAACAAATGCTGCGAGAAAAACGAGCTCATGGTCCAGCGAGGGTTTAAAACCGTTTGCACGCTGCTCGAGCAAGTTAATCAAAGTACTTACATATACAGCTTAATTGTTTATCTTTCTGCTTGATAGGCAAAGCTATTGTACGACCGGCACAAGTTAAAGTGGATTATATACAAACAATGTTCGACTGTCGGTATCGCCACATGAGTCTCAGGCTTATGTTTACACAATAGAATGTTGTGAAATATTGAACTAGTATCTGTATATAAACTGTAACATTATGTCTATTATAATCTTCTGGCTCAGTTACTTAAGTTAAGAGTGAACATGAGAAATATTTGATACTGGACCCCACCATATTGTAGAAATTCAAAAAACAACTTTTCAACATCAAGATCAACTCAAAAGTTTATATTAGAAGAGTTACTGTTAAATGCAATTATGGTATTGCATTTAACAGTAACTGGCCAGCCTTTCTTATTTTCCTAGTGCATTTTCCATTATTATTCTTTCAGCTGTCTGGGAACCAAACTTTAAGACAGATGATGGGAAGGATGTAAAATTGAAATATTACAATTTTATTACTGGACAACCTGACTGTGAGACTATGCAACACAGACCCATTTATTATCTGGGTAATACGGAAGATGAGTGAGTAACTTTTAAACTACTAGAGAGAGCTTCTTGTGTAAGAGTTTGTCCATCTAAGGAAGTACTGCCACCGTACCTATTTACCACCACACCAATGCTCACATTACTGTGTTCTGGTTTTGATGAACAAGGATGCTGGTGAAATAACAAACACATGGGACTCGTCTACTTATATCCCTTTAGATCTTTGTGATTTAAAGCTTAAAGCTTTGAGTGGCCCTGCAACCTCTGGGAAAGGTATCATGTGGTGGCATTTTAAAGAAGATTAACAGTAGAGCTCTGTGAAAGAATTCATCCAAGGAAGTACTATCACCACACCTGTTTCTGCCACCAAACAGTATTGTATACATTAGCGCCTTCCGGATTTGAAGGGTAAGGATGCTGGTGAAACTACAGACACATGAAACTTGTCAACTCTATGTCCCAGGGTTATTGTTGCAGTGGCAGTGCCTCTTAGAAGTGATTAAAGCCTTATATGGCTCTTCAACTGTCATGGATACCTCATAGATCACCTTTAGTATAATTAATGATAAGAAACCTTTCAAGATAAATGTTTATCACTAACTTTAAACTGAGTTATAAAACAAAAGGCTTTATCATTTTTAAGCTTTGTTCCAGGCTTCAAATTCTTGTAGATGGTCGCATGAAACATTTGATTCATCACAAACATAGTACAGACAGTATTAAAGAGGAGTTCATTCCAAACCACTCGTTCAGTCTCCACGATCCTGTTATCATTCCGGAAACTAAAGAGCCTGCTTATTTTTCTCATGAGAGAGACAAGTACTGTATGGACAAGGTCAGTTGCTAACTTCGTATGTGATATATAATGACTTATTTAAAACAATTCAATAAATACCACAAAAAGGTCGATTAATATTGTATTATGAAAGTTGGGGGAGGTCTCCAGTATCTCCAGTGTCTTTCAATGTCAATGTGATATGGCTCATAACTAATTTAATCTGTTATAGTAACATAAACTGAAAGGTGAATTAATTAAGTGCATTTCTTTTCTAGATACTAATGACAAATTTTAATACTAACAACACAATTATAGGCGAATATGCCATTGTATGTGTACCTGAGGTGAAAATTAATTGGACTGATACAGATTTTCTTCTAAAGAAAGTATTAAATCCCTTATTCCATGCTATTGCAATGGTGTTATTCCTGTTAGTGGCTATCATATACTTTGTATTACCAACATTACGTGACTTGGCTGGAAATATAATTACAACAATCAACGTATGTCTTATTGTGAGCCAAGCAGCTGATTTGGTCAGAATATTCACGGAATACAGTAATCATGTCAGTTTTATGATTACAGGTGAGTTCTTAGCCTTTGTTAAACTCAATCAAGTGTAATATTAAATATTGCTTGACAGTTAACTAACAGTGCTCTCACTGTACATATATCTGTACCTATTATACAGGGTGACAGGTTGAATGAGATAAATATTTAAAGAGGCGGATGAGTGGCTGATACCTATACCGAATATGTAAAAAAAACAGCCTTATTTTGAAATAATTTTCCAAAGAAAATACTGCCTTTAACATTTTGTAATACTCAGCGCGAGATACCGCGACAATCGAACATGTAGCGAGTGCCCTGCAAGGTCAAATCAACTCCTTACTCCTGCCTCTGCTCACGCTTTCCCAGCCGTTTCGCACGCCCGCCCGCCCGACCGACCCCGCACGTGGAAGCTCCGCCGCCGGCGCGTATTTGTTTTGCGTGATTTATCCGGCGCGTATTTGCGTGATATATCGGTGTATTCGCCTGTGTAGTCTGTGTAGTTCACTGGAGTGCAGTGACGTTCATAACGATGCCACATCACTACACAAATGAGGAATATTGGGACATGATGCGGTGTTACGTTATGGTATGTTATGCAAATTATGTTGTTAGTCGTGCTAGGGACCTGTAGAGAAATGTTCCTTAGTCGGCGAGCTCCACCCTACACATTGATGTTAGGACTTAATTTTGTCTGTCCTAAGCTAGGATCAAAGTATGAAGGGAAAACTGAATTATTATTAATAGTAATAGTAGTAGTAGCACTCTATAAGAAGCAAGGATTGACACACGCTTGTAGCGCGGCCGCGGGAGTTCAATAACTTACTGCTCTGGCGTTTTATAGAGTAGCCCAAATGAAGAGAGTGCTATTATTTGTAAAATGGCACATTTGTTTTTACATATTCGGCTTAGAAGTAAGCTACTCGTTTGCCTCTTTAAATATTTATCTCGTAGTAATAAACATGCATTTGTTTCAGACGTTATTCTCTATGTTAGTCTTTTGGGTGCCTTTTTCTGGTTGAACAGCTATGGTTTCTATATTTGGAAGACTTTCAAGTAAGTTTTTAAAAATTACATGTATTGGTGCATAATAGTATGCTTGTATGTATTAGATAGAATAGTTTTAAGAAAAGAACGAACATATAATACTTTTACATTATTTCAGATCAAGAAACGTATTTCTACGTGTAACAGATGTACGCAAGTATTGTTATTATTCTGGAGTAGTGTGGTCATCAGTGATTATAATGGCAGTTTTGGCGATTTGTGCTCACTTTCTTCTGGATATTGGCACAAGTGCAAAGAAGAAAATGACTCAGTTCTCTGCTTCCATCCTGGTAGATGATGAGGAACAAGAAACTATTGGTATGTATTATTTTTATATCAAGTCACAAGAACAGATTTGAACAAAATGTGGTTGGATTACTGGCTGGACTTAGATGTTTACGATTCACATTTTAATTTAAACCCAACCACATTACATGCAGTACCATAGGTAATGCATTTATTTATGTCAATATCTTAAAAGCTTTACCAAAAATTTTAGCTTTTCTTTATTTTCATAAAAAGATAAGTGAGCATTTGACTTATACCTCACCTGATGGTGACGATGGTGAAAAGTGACGATGGAGCATCCACACCTAAATATTGTCTATATTCTTGCCTTGAAAAAGCCCTAGTTATAGCGTTTAGGGAATAAGTCTGAAATTTCAAGTTTATTTTATTCATTTTGTCCTAAATATGAGTTTTCACATGAAAGTGGATTTAATATGTGTAATAATTAAGAAAAATCGTATTTTCGTTGACAGGATGGCTCGGAATCGCAATATTCTTTACGCCCATCGCTTTCACGATAATTTTCAACATATTCTTCTACGTGACTACTCTCAAAGTTATAAAAAGGATAAACATATATGGAAGAATTCATTACAAACTGAAAGGATGGTAAGAATTACGAGTGCTATTAATGTTATGCTAGCCTTGTAAAGCGTTATTCCGTTTATGTCAACCATATATTATGAATAGTTAGTTAAATTAATGTAATTAATATAATTTAACTAACTTATAATAATAACGCACACACTCAACATAGCCCCGCACTATGGAAACCCTGTGTCGCGGGTGCCATGGACACACACATAGACGACCACAAATTACACCCAAACTCATGAGAAAAATAAATGTAGGCCATACAAATATTTTTCCCGGCCCGGGAATCGAACATGGGACCTCTGCGTGGCAGTCCGACATGGTAACTGTTGTACCCACAGAGGCAGTTTTGTAACTATTCATTTCTTTGCATAAAGATTATAAGCACAATATCTCTTATGTCGCCTACGTTTTATTTCATGTTCGCAATTTTTATTTCAGCTTTGACTTATTTCTACAATTATTCCTTATAATGACAATTGCCTGGCTATTCCTACTTCTGTCATGGCTCAACTTCGACGGTTTGATTTACGCACACATAGTTGTGAACTTATTACAAGCTATACTTGTATTCTACATATGCGTGGTGCGACAGTCCCATGTAACATTTTTGCTGAGGAAAAGTTGTTGCTACGCGGAACCTGTGCCTACTGGAGAGTGGGGTGACGAAATGACGCACATGAACGGTGGTAACTATTAAACAATTCGAATATACATACGAGAACAAAACAAGGAACATAAATCATGACAAATTTAGGTAAAATAGACTAGGGTCCTTTATATGGAGTATCTGAAGTGATAAGGGGGCCTACCATAACCTTTCTAAAAACAATCTTATTTCAATGTAAGCTTGTTATAATATTTATTACTCATATTCGTACCATGACAAACTTGTCTACTAAGAAATGTATTATTGATAAAATGACTGAAAGAACGAATGATTTCCCAATATTGTCTATTCCTTACTAAAAATAGGAAAGAAATAACGCTATATGAACTGTATAATAATAATAATAGTAATAATTTATTTCAGACATAACAAATCCATAGAATTACAATAATGTTACATTAGAATTAAATATTATACATAGGTACTTAATTATTAATAATTGCAATCCAATGTCTCAGTATGGACGAGTCGCAACTACGAGCTATAACAGCTATAATGCTATTAGTACTATCTAGCACTCTCTGTCTAATGCCATCTCTTTCTTTTTTGATGTTCCGAATCGTGTTATCGTAGTATAATGTTAAAGTACTTAATGTCATTTACATTCAGAGAATTTTAACTGCCAAAAAAAGAAAAGTATGTAATAATGAAATCTATTAAAATTACGTTGTTTTCAATTATTATTTCGCATTTTCATGAAGAAAAATAAATAAATCAAGCTGAGTCTTGATAGTCACGTTGTGAATTCGGAACCTGGTGTCAACTGTTCGTTTCGCCAAAGAGCATATAGATGGCGCTGTCATAGTTTTACGAAATAAACATCGCGTATTTTTATTTTACGAGAAATTATTTCCTATGTGCTATTAAATAAAAAATAAACAAAATATTGAAGAGTTATATGTAAATTAATAAGTTCAACTTAACTTTTAATCATTACAAATCAATATTTAGACAATAAATTCGAAAATAATATTGTTTCCATTCCATACGTGTAACTATTTTAAGGCCCGTATTCCAGAACTCTACTCAATGCTCAAGTCAGGACTTGAGTATGATTCTAAGCACTAGAAATCATACTGAAGTCCGAGTTCTAGAATACGACCCTGAGATTGCTAAATTTGACATAAAAGCAATATTACTTTAATGTCAAAGTCGCGTCATGGTACTAACTGAGTGAATGAATAGTCACAAAGCTGCCAATAAAACATCATAGTTTTAACATTACAAATAACCGTACTTTAAGCGCGTTATGGTATGAACAGTCAATGTAAAGTTAAAGTTATATTGTTTTAAGAGGTTGTGGTAGGCCCCCAGGGCATTCCATACAGGTACGTTATGACATATTCAGAACAAAACTTGTCAGCATTGTACCAAATCACAGAACACTTAAAAGACTTGTACTGAACTAGTATGGAGCTTGGTAGTTTATATTCAGAAAATTTTTTTGGTAGATATAAACTTCAATTAAAGAGCTTAGTAGAATGATAAAACGAAGATATAGTGACCTGTATTTTTAAAATTAATTTAAAACAAGAGTGTGGTTAATATGTTAAAATTACCAGTAACACTGCGACGTTACAAAAAGTCCAAAAAGCAGCAACACTTAAACGCTAAGAGATTCAGACCAAAAATAAAATTAGCTAAATTGCAACATGAATGACATACAACATCTGATCTCTCTATATATTTTTATAGCATTCGCCACTAGCCCATTAGCCAAAAATTTTTTAAAAATCCGTTCCATTCCGTTCCGTTTTACGTTACATAGTATTTAAAAAGCCTAACGATTTTCTGGAAATTGCAAATAAAAAATTGAAAATTTCTGTATTTTGAGAGCTCTTTACAAAATCAACTGTTAGCCTGGTTAAATTTTCCATTTATTTTAGTACGACTAACGGAACAACTGTTCATCGACTCACTATATATTTAACTTTAAATAGTAATTTAAGCGTACACAAAATATCTCGGCAAGTAGTAAGGAGTGATTGGTGAAGTACACTGCCGTGAATGTAGGTGTTGTTCACAGAGCCTCTCAAAACTGTCTGTGCCTTACCAGTGTCTTAATTAATGACTATTGAAAGTCATACTGCAAGGTGTCCCTTGTTAAGTCAGTTTAAAAGATGAACAATACTAATATTTGTGATAATTTATTAATCAGAATGCTCACAGAAGATACTTAATTTTTGTCTTAGAATTAGACGCACTTGTTCAAAACTTGCCTGGTACACGAATTAGGAATTAAAAATCTCACTAAATCTTTAATGTTTACTCACAAATATCAATTTATGATGCTGTAAGACTGTAAACAAACGTGATGACATGGCCTTATTATCCGTCCGTTTCTCTATGTATTAATGTAAGCAGCTAGCTGGTTAGTGATTTCATAAAATCATCTTTAGTCGCTTTCTAACACTAACAAACCTATTATTATATACTTCTAAACACAAATCTGTTTTTCTAATCTACATTTAATTGTAATCTTAATATCTGACATATTCCAAAAATAGTTTTAAGTAATAATACTTAGTCAATATGGAAAGCATTTAATTTTTATGAATTTCTATTTCAATTATTATTTTTAATAAATGTAATATACTAGATTTTATCCGACGTTTTATTTATAATTGGCCACTTATAATTTATTAAGTAAATAAGGAAAATGTTTACTAAGTTAAAAAATTCTTTATCAGAAAGACTGGTTATTGTATGTCCGATGCGGTGGCGTGTCTTATTCACTACAATCAATTTTTTTGGAATTTGACTAACCAGGTAATAAAGTCGTAAATTAGAAAGTCATCATACTTATCGACACAGCAACAATTTAAGTTTTATTCCCATGTAACCTAAAGAATAACGGCAAAATATTTGTTGATAATAGTAGATTTTATTTTAGTTTGATTACCTATATTATTTTCAAATTATACTAAGGCTTGTCTCAGCCAAGAAATAATATTATATTTAAATGAAACACAAATTACTTACTAGTATGTACTGCTCAGTTTTTTTTAAAACGATGATGGTTGGTTCCAAAACTTCAAACTGAATCTTTAATTCAAGACCTCTCTTAGAATAGTACTTAGTAAAATATTTTATCATGTTTTTTATATACAAACGCAAAAAGGTCAACAAAATTTTGGAATAAGAGTTCGCCGTTGTTCTTTAAAAACTTGATCATGGTGGCGTTGGATTAAGGCATGTAATCCGGTGGACAACCATCTTGTGCGTCCGGCGTGAAAAGTTGACTCGTCATAATATTATCGCTTCGGGCTTTGTAGCCGGTGCAAGAAAATTATACACTGACCTGAGAAAACAGCTGGCCTTCAGGACTTCGTACGAGTGGCGCGAGTTGGCAACGCACCACCAAATGACAGTCGTCCATTACGGTATTAAAGAATCGTCGAGTAGGCAGCAGCGCTTCCAAGTCGATCATCAGCTCCAGGAAGCGCTCACAATATCTATAGAGCAATTTAATGTTAGAGCAAGATACTATGTACAGGATTATTTGGAAAAATACTAACAACCTCTCAGGACTATATTGCTAACATTGTAAAGAATAACTTTTGCTGGATGACTTTTAATAAGTCATCATTTTACTTACGTAAAAATTTAAAAGTATTTAAATAGGACGCTCTAAACGATGATACCTCTGTGCGGTAGCAAAAGAAAGCGCTAGTTTAAATCTAGTTCGATTGAAAACGGGGGATAATGTGGGACGATGCTTGTACGTTTGAACATACAACCAAATACAGATCTAAAAAGTGTCAGTATAACAAAAACATAAAAGTTTATTTAATTGCGTAACAAACCTACAAGCCGGCCTTAAACCAGAATGTTTACTTTTAATTCACAAAAACATCGCTAGATGGCATTGACCCATTGGCGTTAATTCTGAATCGCAGTGTTAAGATGTTCCCTCGAATGGTGACTATTTTATTTATGTTGAGAAATTGGAGAATACCGAGAGTTCAGTAAAGCAAACAAGGACTTGAGCCCCTTTTTGCTGCTACCCAGACCTTCTGATATTGACTTACGCCCATACAGAGTGAAAAACAATAGTCTCGGAACGGTTTCCAGGAGTTGAGTTCCTTCTTGGAAACAACCGTACCTTCCGCATACAGGGTGTAAAGGAATTGATCCGATATAAGGAGTTTTGACTTGCCTGGAGCTGCGTAACGTCATCCCACGGTCGAAAAGCCTCCTTAACATTTGTTAATTTATTGTTTTGTAAATAGTTGTGGAACAAAAGTTGTTGCTTATGATATTGGTGACATAGTCCGATGAGGTTTTTAGTATTTTACAAATTACCCTGTACACTGTTTACAATCTAAGCGATAAAATAATAATTAATTTCAACCACTGGTTAACGGAAAGGAAGACGAAGTTGGTTTTCAAAATCTTTGTTCGGAATTGTTAAATCTTTCTCATAATATTATAATTCTGGAAAAATACGCATTTTGACCAACCTTACAGTCTCAACATTGACATCCCCAGTTTCGGGGATGGTCTCTAAAATTCTCATGAACTTGATCATAAGCCTCTGCAGGTAGTGTCTTTCCCAATTGAGTTTCTCAAGTAACTCAGGTTTGTCTTTCTTCTGTATCGCTCGCCAGTATTTGCGCCATTTTGGTACAGCTTTGAATTCTTGATTACGTCTTCCTGTATACGAAAAACGAATATAAGTCAGGTGGGCTATCATCGTATATTAGGTGCAAATAATTATAATGTACAAATTTATTAAAATCTCCTGAAAAAGAAAAAAACAAGATTAACTCCTTTTTATTATATTAGGCATTGACTTTACTTGTAAGTCAATGATATTACGTCATCTTATTAGCATGAATCAAAGCACTGAGAGCCGAAAGACGCTCTCTGTCTACTCTGATGGGAAAAGAGCGTGAAGTATATGTGTTTGATAAAATCAATGAAAAGACACGTTGATGTCTTACCATATATTGGTACTGTCTTTTTTTATGTGCTGGTTTTACGGCACCGGAATAAATCAATCAAGCAAAATACTTCAAATTAATTTAAATGTATGATTGTGTGGTAATTCATAATTCATTCATTTATTCATTGTTTCACGTGGATTAACATAATGTTTCATAAAAGATTTTGAAAAATTTACTTAACGGGGAAAAGGTAGGAAGGAAGCGATGGTGTGACGAACTGGACGCCTACGATAAGGCTTGGGTCCAGTTATCTCAAAATCGGGATGTGTGGAGGGATCAGGGGAAGGCCTTTGCCCAGCAGTGGGATAGATCAAGCTAATTCTATAAATAAAAGAATATACAACATTTAACCCTCACTGGGTTCGCGGAGTAGCAAATTAATTTACTACCATTTTTATAAAGATCCAGTACATGAATCCTGTAAGAGCACTACAATGACTATAAATTAATTAATTATTAATTTCGTATATGTCATTAATTCTTTCAATTATGAAATAGGTTCTATGTAATATGAAAATTTAAATCACCATAATTAAAATCAATCAATTTAATTTATATTATAATTAATTCATCAAAATTGGATAAACAATATGTTTGAAGAAAAAAAACAGATAAAAATAATAAATAAATAATCTTAACGAACATCCTTACATTATAATATTATTACGTCAAAAACGTGATAGACATTAATTAAAGATATGTCACAAAAGCAGTTGATTACTAATAAATGTCAATAATTATAAAAACCGAAATCATGACATCGTATCATGAAAGAATTTTGAAAATGATTTGTTGTTATTTCTGTAATTATTGTTTTATCATTCAAAAATTCACCACTTGTATGTATAATAATTTTTTTATAAATGATGACGTATTTTTCCACGGTACGTGTTTGTAGATGACACTTTTAATATAAATAATTAACTATTTTTCGTTGGGTTTCAAAATGTGTAGTTTGTTTTATAGTCTTGAAAACTTATTATGCAGCTCTTTTTGGTCTATTTAATTACGAGTTCCTGAGAAATTATTAGGATTTTGACACACCACCTCACTGATAGTCTTTTATAGATTGATTTAAATGAGTTTCATTACTTAGTATATACGTTTGTATGGAGTCACTTAACGGTCCTCTTAAACCCTTGTCCAGTAACAGCAAATTCTAGTCGCTGAATAAAAACAGTATACAGAAAAAGCGATTGAGAAATATTTTTCAAAATTAAGTAGCAGCACTAACCTTCTTGTAAACTGACCCACATGCTGAGCGATACAAGGCGCTTCACTTGATCGCGACAGAGCTGCACTTCCATGCTGCCGAAGCAGTGGTTAAGGAATACCAGTAAAGCGGTCTGCTCGCGCATATTGCGGCTAGTATGGTCGTCTGCCACGCTAGCCCGAAGCACTTGCTCGAAGAATGCTGGGAAATGATCTGGTTTCTTGAGAAATGCCTGGAAGAAATGGTATATAGATAGTTTGGGTTAATACAAGGAAGCCGTACTGCCCTCCATGTACTATTATTATTATTTACGTTATTTTTCTCAGCTTGTAGCTGGTTTGGACCACATTATTATTATTAGGGTGGCTTCATTCGGGGCATATAGGCTCACCACAGCGACTATCATCTGATCTATTGTGATCATACCTCTGCGTGGCAGTCCGGCATGGAAACCGTTCGGCCACGGAGGCAGAGTGAGCTTTGCCAGGCTGTATGTTATCCCTATAAAGGACTTCTTATCCTAACTTTACGTACTTTACTTCCTAAATTATGTTGATTTTGTTTAACAACAAAACTTAAAATAAATAAGATATACAAAAGCCGTTTATAGGGGGTTGTAAATCTAGTTTCGCCGATTCCAGATATGTTAATAATTTAATTTCGTTATAATAATTTAGTTTCGTGGTGTGCATAGTATACAGGGTTATTTTTAATCAACCAGACCTCCTAACATTATTAAGAAACTTCTGTGTTGTACCACTTTTGGAAAAAACTCTTTTGTTTTTACTTCAACAATTCGATAGAACAGCTGATAAAGGTTTGTATGAGAAATGGAAAAAAATAATAAAAATTACGAAAGTTATTCGTTTTAATTATAAAAACGTTTGTTAAAGGAAGGTTTTCAGTTTAAATAAAAATATATGTGTTGTATTTTGAGATTAAAGGTGCCTTCAAATTAGACTTAACTTATAGAAGTGCTACACTTGCGCCACGGAGGCACTGAAGCCGCGCCACTACTGTGTACAAAACTTACACAGAGACCTCCAGCCCTCTTTCGAGAATAATACCGAAAGTGCAAAGCATTTGCCTTCTTTTTTGCTTTTATTGTTTATTTTTATTTTATTTAAATTTTTTATCCTTTTATATTCTTAACAATTTATGTGTTTTAACGTGCTTCTTTTTATATTTTTTTATATTTTTTGTTATTTAAAAAGAAGTGTTACGAATCACATTTTGTTTGACATTGTGCGTCGATGAACTCTAAACCCTGAGACGCAGGTTACCACCTACTTCAGGGGAGGAAGTATCGCCTCCACTACAAAACAATAAATACAGTAGAAGTAGTTAGTTAGCGTCTAACGCGTGCCAACCATAGTGTCAAGCCATCTTATAGGTCTCGAAAGACCTATTTGAGTTCAGCCCGCCATTTTCGCTTTGTATGGTATGATTGTGTCATTTTTTTTTCAAATTCTCTAAAATCGTAGAAAAATGTCTTATAGCACTGTTTTGGAGTGCAAAAATGATTTTGTTTATGTGCGTTTTGGCGACATCGGTTCCGGTAGTGGTCGGGGCTTATGGCACTTCCATTGTTTTTTTCTTACGTGGCCTTAGACACTGTTGTATAAAACCTGTTTAGTTGTGATCCATGCCATGTAACGTGTTTCTATTTTTTATGCGCAATAAATAAGTAATTATTATTACTACTACTAATTTTCATATTTTAGAAGCGCAGTTGCAGCGCCACTATCGCGAGACGCGCGCGCCACAGTTGCAGTTACAATTAGTGCAATAAAAATTACACAGTTACTGCTCTACAGTCGCGTCACAACAGCGCTTCTATAAGCATATAACTTGAAGGCACCCTAAGAGTAACAATCAGAACATACGAAGAAGTACTTGTTGCTTAGATGATTCGAAGAGTTACGTAGTAAGTAAGAGTCACGTACGGTAGTTACATAACGGTTAGACCAAAGTTATAATTATACCCTAAAACAATATAGTTACAAAAATATTCGAATGTGGGTTATTCAATGGAAATAAATACCTTGCACGCGAAGTATAATAAATAGCTTGAGAAGTAGGCACACATTAGACTATAATAAAATTGTTTTGCTTGCTGTGATTTTATAACTTAACTATATACTTTCCATATTACCACTTGTGACATGCTCGTAACCAGTAAATAAATAGTTAGACTTAATTTAGATTAACAATGATTGTTTTGTTGCAGACCTTTTGTTCATAATTATAATAATTACACATGTACCGAACAGAGAACATAGGCGGATACTGAAAAAAAAACTATACTGAGGCGTCGTGATTTTCATCAGCTTAGTAATGGAAATAGAAATCAGAGTTACATGTACTTTGTGATTTTGTATATAATACATATTATTATGTGTCTTTGATAAATGCACTTATTTAATTTTAATTTATAATGACGCCATAAGGGATAAATCTTAATACTCATTAAGAAATGTATCTGCCCCTGAGATTATTTCTTATGCCACCTTAGGTCGGTCTGTGATCCTATTCGAACCCAAATTATTTATGAGCTCTATCAAAAAGTGTTAAGGGAAATAAACAAACCTGCCAAGCTGGCACTCGCTCACGAAACTTTTCATTGATCATAACGATGATGGACATCATGTGCGCATGAGACGCCTTGCCCGCCTCGTAGTGTGGCCAAAGGTAGTTCTCCAAGTATTGGGAAAACTCGAGCATCATGATACGACGAACTGAGAAACTGGAATAAATAATCACACCAAAGTTTATTAGCATACAGCAGTATTTTGAAAGTACTTACTCCGACGACCTCTGTGGTCGAAACTTGTACACCAGTTTTTACGGTGTCGCCATCTTTGAGGACCCGGGTCCGATCCCCGGCCGGTATAATGAAGAAAGAAAAGCTAACTTTTCTGTATAGTATCAGGTCTGAATGTTTCTGCTGCCGTCGTTGTTTCAGATTTCAATAACACAAGAGCTTTAGTGACTCACTTTGAGTTCAGAGCACCATACCTATGTGTTGTTGAATAGTATTCAACTTAACTTTTCATATCTTTGAAAATCTCATAGCTCAGAGAATAAACTCTCTGGGCATTATACGTATAGATCAGGCTTTCCCAAAGTGGGCGATAACGACCCCTTGTGGGCGCTGAAGGCCTAAAGGGGGGTAAGAGACCCAGAAAAAAAGTGGAGGCGTTGTGTAGAGGCTTAGGGGGAGATTTGTAATTTCATCTAGGAAGACTCTTGGACACCGACTGAGTTGTCGACTCTCGACTACAACTTGTGAACATCAACTAATATTAATTAAGAGATTGCTCAAACTAACTCGGTTCGATATTTTTCTCCGTGTAGTTAATATATCTGTCCTGTTTTATTGAATAAATAAAATAAAAATCATGTCAATCGGTCGCTCCGTTACGAAATGAAAGTAGACACAAACAAACAAATAAAAAGGCAACAGACACAGTTTCGCATTTTAATAGTTATTAGTATTCCTAGATAGGTAATTAGATAATAGACCGCGCGCAATCATGTTTAAACAAGTTTTTGTTAAATAACCCGATTTGTGCATTCCTGTATCAATCGGCTGGTTCACAGAATACTTGTTCTTACTTGTGGAGTACGTGAGCGTCGAATGAGATAAGCGAGTTTATGCATGTTTGTCTTATTCCTGTCGGTGCGTGCTGCTTATGCAATCCTATATAAACAACGTAATATTTATTTTATTTTCATTTGTGGTTTCGCGCGTAATAGACAAGCAGTACTTAAGTTCAACATTTATTTACGTATTTCTCAAAACAAAACAATGTCGGAAGTAGGTAACAAAGAAGAAACGGCAATACTGTGCGGAATATGTTAAATTCGGATTCATTGACAATCCCACAAACCCATCGTCACCTTTGTGCCTTCTATGTCTAAAAACATTTTCGAATGAAGCAATGTAGCCTTCAAGACTGCAAGATCATTTAAATAAAATCCATCCAGATAAGAAAGACAAGAATGTAGCATATTTTCAAGACCTAGAGAAGAAGCATAATACTCAAGTGTAGCAAAACCCTTTTCGGCGGCTGCTAAGCAAGATGACGACGGACTTCCAACTTTGTAAAATATCTCTTTGTTAATTGCTCAAAAAGGCAAACCACACAACATCGGAGAATAGGTAATTTTGCCAGCAATAAAGGAAGTAATAACTACTGTGCTTCATAAACCGGCCGCAGATATTATCCGAAAAATTCCTTTGAGTAATAATTCTGTGCAAAGACGAATTGATGAAATGCCTGAAAACATTGGAAAAGTTTTGTGATGTGAAAGAGATTCCTTTGAAAAATATTATATCAGTTGCTACGGATGGCGCTCGGGCTATGACGGGGTGCCATAAAGGCTTCATAGCGTACTTAAAAAATAAAATTCCAAATGTCCTTGCTGTACATTGCATTATTCATAGACAACATTTGGTTGCTAGAAATTTAAGTGCACGACTATTTCAATCACTGCAATATATCATCAGAGCAGTCAATAAAATCCGTAACAGCTCTTTGAATAATAAATTATTTCATCAGCTTTGTGTTCTAATGACGAAGATTTCAACCGTTTGTTGTTTCATACTGAAGTTCGTTGGCTATCAAGAGGCAATTGTCTGACTCGATTTTACAATCTGTTTGACTCTGTGATAGAGTTCTTGGAAACTAAAGATAATAAAGGTCATTACATCAAAGAATGATATAGCTTACATGACAGACCTGTATAAATTGTTCAACGACATGAATCTCCAACTGCAAGGCGATGAACTAAATTTAATTAAAACAAAAAATGTCGTTGCTGCTTTCGCAGCCAAATTGCTTCTACACAAAAAGAATATGGGCAGACATTAGTTTCAAAATTTTGTGAATTTATCAGTATCCTGCAGTACAGACGACTTGTTTGCCTACTGCCAATATTTGGAAAACCTCCACATTGACTTCACTGAACGATACCAGGACATTTTAAACTTGAAAATACCAGACTGGGTGTTGGATCTCTTATCAAAGTCAAAGATTATTTATTCCATAGGTAAAATAAATTTACACTTGAAAACGTCACATTTAAGCTACTGCTCGTTCACTACGCTGACCTCCCTGAGAAGAACGAGTAAGAAACTCTAGGGATTGCTTTTTCAAATAAACTTAAATGCTATGGAATACACTTTGAATCAAATTTGTGTGGATTCTGGAGCCATGTCGTCTTTTCATACATCTTTATCTAACACGTAGTCTTCAATTTTGTAATATGATTTTTCGATCAAAATATTTTTAATGTAGTTTTTAAACTTAGGAAATGATAAACTTAATATTTGCTCCGGAATCTTATTGTAAAAACGTATACAGTTCCCCATAAAAGAATTGTTTAGCTTGGTTAAACGAAATCGTGGTACCATGAGTTTGGACTTAGCTCTAAGGTTAATATTATGGACATCTTCTTTCTTATTTATATTATGTATATTTTTACGGACATATAAAATATTTGAGTAAATGTACTGTGATGCCACAGGCATGATACCAGTCTCCTTAAATTTTTCTCTGAGAGAAACCCGAGAGCCTAGACGGTACACAGAACGAATCGCTCGTTTTTGCAATACAAATATGGTTTGAATATCTGCCGCTTTACCCCACATGAGAATCCCGTAGGACATTATACTATGGAAGTAACTAAAGTAAACTATATAGTCTAGCAGTATTAACATCGGTAAGCTCACGTATGCTGCGGACTGCGTATGCAGCGGAGCTTAATTTGCTGGCCAGAGACGATATATGTGGTAACCATTGAAGTTTACTATCTAAGGTCACTCCCAAGAAGATTGCTTTATTAACAAGGTCTAACTTTTCTCCGTTTATTTCTATGCTTGGACTAGTCGATTTTACGTTAGGTAATTCAAATTTAACACATTTTGTCTTCTTGGCATTAAGCAATAAATTGTTAGCATTACACCAATAAACTACCTTAGAGAGGGTTTCATTAATATGGTCATAGTTAATGTCATGTCTGTCTGTTTTAAAAATCAAGGATGTGTCATCAGCAAACAACACTATTTCGCAATGGTCCTTAACAAAGAATGGCAGATCATTAATATAAATCAGAGAATATCAATCAACACAGCAATATCACCTCAGCTGGAAGAAGAACTTATAGACTTGACAACGAAAGAGGAAATAAAAATCAAGTTCAAAAATGGCTACCAATAATTTTGGCTACAAAAACCGGTCCCGCAATTGTACCCTGGATTGTGGTCAATCGTTCAACGATTCTTGATAGCATTCCCATCTTTTATAATAATTTATTCTCAAAGTGGGCAGTAGACAAAATAAGCTTGGGAACCCCTGGTATAGATGATTGTAGGACACAAAGCCAGGAAGGAAGGAGGCAGACTTTGTTTAAGTTCAAGAATGACTTGTTCCAAATTAAAGTTTTAAAATCGAATACTATTCATTATTATCGAGTTCTTAGGTTTTCGAGACTGTTGCACATAGGAAATAACTATTTTTCGAATCTATATTGCGCATATTTGTTGTTGTCAACGTTTCGACTGAAAATGAACGTTGGTTTCTTTGAAAAAACAAACATACGCGATTTAGATCTGAAAAAATAGTTTCATTCACTATCCATTATATCAAAAAGGACAAAAGTTACCTTAACTTGTATTTAATACAACATTTTAAATTTATACTGATTTTTTTCTAAATTTTCACAAAATTTCCAAGAAATTAGAAACAAAGAAGAAATACTTATTAACAAGCTGCATTTAATTTTATCTGGTTTGAAATTCCATAACTAAATATGTTTTAACATTGTTATTAAAACTTCTTTATACTAAATTGTATAATGTTGCAAAGCTAACATACCAAAATAAAAAAAAATCATTTTAAATCCAAACATTACATATTACATTTACACATAATCTTAAAATTATTAAAAACATTTTTTAGAAATTATTATGTAAAATCAGAGAGAGTAAATTTCTTGCAAATAAACAATACACTGGTGTATTTTTGCAACTGGTCAAATTTGAAAAAAATAAATAGTGTCAACGCCCCAATCTATTAGGTCACTGACCCTAGTTCACTCATTTGTTAAAATCAGTTAGGCCCTGCCTGAAAGTGCATTTTGGTGTGCAAATCAAGGTATTAATATTGACAACTTACTAGGATCCCAGGATCTCTGCCATGTATATGGATTCCACAATCAAGGCATCATAAGGTAGGTGACTTTCCTTAGTCTGCGGGGACCAGTACTGGTTGGCAAGCTGTGAACATTGTAACCATGTTGATTTACTACACAATTCAATGAGGAATGTTACATAGATTTACCTAATGGCTATGTGAATGAGAAATACCAGTAGGCTACTTGGAAATCAATGAAATTACAATGGCTAAGCGTGTGGCCTACATGAACTGGGTACAAATTAGTTATAGTAAATTCCAGGCTGCTATAAATAGTTGGGCCATAGGCCATGCCATATAGTACATTCTCTACCTCATGGAAACACATGTTACCTTGTATTGTAGTACACCTACACCAATTATATCGACGCCGCAAAAAGATATTGTCGTATCTCGAAAAATAGGATTTTACACCAGAGCCGAAAAATTATTTCTCTTTAATTTGAATTAGTAGAAAGTCAATTTTTGATTTTGAATAATGATTACATACATCATACGTTAAAATTGACTTTCTACTAATTCAAGTTAAAGAGAAATAATTTTTTGAAACAGTTTTTCGGCCCTGGTGTAAAAAGCCCTATTTTTCGAGATACGACAAGATCGCTTTGCGGCGTCGATATTTTAAATGTATTTTATATAAAATATCACTTATTTACATTCATGTACTGTGTTATACTGCCCCCCTTGTCATGACTAACGTATTTGCATTTTGATAACTTTCAATATATTGGCACCTAGTTTTTTTCTAATTAAAAAATGTCAGTTACCTTAACTTGCTTAACAATAAAACTCAAACTAAATAAGATATTTAAAAAAGCTTATAAGGGGTTGTAGGTCTCGTTTTGATGATTCCGGATATGTTAATAATGCAATTATGCTAAAAAGTCGATTATGTTATTATGTTATGATAAAGAGGGCAGTCTTTGGTTCCACATTTTACAATATTTGTTAGAATTTATGCAATATTTTAAACCTACAGACTCACAATGGTTGAAGAACCATACTATACCTTGTTTCAATCCATTTTAAACACAAAGTAAACAAACAAGTAACTGACCCAAACATAAATAATAGACAGTTTAGTGATGGCCAATTTTACTGCCAATTACAATCAGTTAATTAATTGAATGAATTGATTTGTTTAAGTGAGTCACACTAGCGGTTTTCTTTACATAACCTTTAAAAGCATATTTAAAATTCCTGAAATCTTAATTTTAAATCCTCCTTTCAATCCTTACACTTAGATACTCATTTGATTGCGATTAAAATTTTTGATTTATTAGTAAATTGATTACCAAAACTTTAATAGAATTAACTGAATGTTTTTTCCACACCGCACTTTACAACCATACTATTCATACATCTTTACTCATTATAACCTCACTTTTTGGCTACCATTTTTCAAATACGATTTTACGATGTTATTCAAATGAATATTGTTGGAAAAAGTGATGATATATCAAGTCAAAATTTTCGAAATATACATGAAAGTGTTACTTATTCTATTTATTAAGTGATTACTTTAGAAATTCAACCAAACCATTTTGTTTACATTTACTTTAAAATGGATTGGAACAGACTATACTGGACCAGTATTAAAGTACTGTCTAAAACCATTTCTCTGGAGGATAAACTTTCAGAGAAATTAATAGACATACAATGCTGATGTTTCAAAGCTTTAAATAGATTGAATTTGTAAAACAGGATGAGTAGTTTAATTGCTTTATATGAGTAAAGTTACGTACTTTCATGGAGTTTATTTAGGCACCAAAAAAATGTTGCACCAAAAAAAAAGTGCACATTCCACAAAGATACCAACACTCACATATTACCAATTATGTTAATATGTGAGTGTTGGTATCTACCCTTCGTAATATCCATACAGTCATATCTAGGCTATGGTTATTTAAAGATATATCTAAATTTCTAAGATTTACAGAGTTCTATACTACATAATTATTAATAACTTATTTAAACAATATCATTATATTATAGATAAATTATATTAAGGAAGTTCATTGTGACTTATCAAAAGGCATAGCTATGTCAATCTGCATGCGGCTCAATGCTATACATGAAACTATCGTGGAGATATGGCATCAAGCTAAAATCCATCACGCCAACTGAGTGTATGTAGGGGATAGTAGTTGTTCAAGAAGCATTTACAATATGCACCTAACTGAATCTAATTTTCATTGACTGTGCAGAAAGCTATAAAAATTAATGATGTGGTAACTCTAGTACAAATCAACTAATACTGTTTCACTTACAAGTAGTTATTTTTACACGAAATGCAAATTATTTTAAGCAATATTGTGAAACAATCTTTGTAACCTCACTTTTCATACTTACTTGGGTTATTCTATCGGAATTGATCTGCGATAAAGTCGGCTGAGGTATTTTAGGTTTCTCCGTAGTTGGAGCTACGTCCGCCTTCATTTTTGCAGATGTAATTAATTTATTTTAATTGAAAATAAAATATAAACAGTGCCGGAAACGAACATCAACAATACAAAATGTCAAACCACTTTGGACGTAATTTGAATCGTTCATAAACTACAAGGCAAACATATGTTCGTTCAGAAATTATAAGATGAACTTGAACTGGAATTTTTAACTTCAAAAAAATTGTTTCAGAAATTCGAAAATATGATGTTCGACCCTCCAGATTTTCCTTACAAAGAATTATGTGATACTCTTAGAGATCAGTATGATACCGACGACCTTCTTTTGACTCATGACACCACACATGGCGATCTTGTATCCAGCAACAAAAGTCTGGCAGAAGTAACCGAGCAAATGATTACCAGTGTTGAGAATCAGTTATCTTTTCATTCGAACGACAATGGCCGATTCTTCAACGTTGAAAATAATTCCTTTTTAGATACGAACAGCAGCACTCAGAATACAGAACTCTACATCGTTCAGCCATCAGATAATTTGTTTAACTATGAACCTAATTTGTTAGATGAAAATACGGTTAATCAGTTTTTGTTACCGCTGCAAAATTCTTCTGAAAATAATAAGGTTACTGAAATTGAAATTCTTCTAAGTAGATAGTAAATTAATTTAATTTCTTCTTGACAACGCGGACAAACATTAGTGATCCTAAATAGTGGTTTAATCATCATTTAATCATCAATTTATTGATTATGAAACCTATTTTGATGTGAAAAAAATTTTAATTTCAGGATGCAGAAAGCACTGGCCCGGACTTACTAGCGTTACATTCTTGCGTTATATGCCACGATATATTTACCACTGACTCTGACCTCTTGGACCACACCATCTCTGTCCACGCATCGGATACGCCTATAGACCAAAGGCAAAATAACTTACCTGACCCTAGTCGACCAGAACCTTTGCCTATTGAAGGTACATAGATATGTATTTCATCAATTATTTATTTATTAATAATTTATTTATTATATATGCGAGATAGATGTTTAGGAAAGAAGTTGAGAAATATACGCATTGGAAATGTCTAGGGATCAAGCACGTTTTTGCCAATTACTGAAAATCAGGTTCTATATGTATTTCTTAATGAAATATCATAAATTTCTGTAAATATTTTTATTTAACTCAAATATAATTCAAATATTTTAAAAAATGCCTTGATCTCTAGAAACTTTTGATGTTTAGGTCAATTTGAGCTATTTAACAGATTGTTTATTTTTTTTAGAATCAAGCAACGGGAGCATAGACTTCGAAGCCGAGTGGCTGGTGTGTTCTGTCTGCTCTCGAGTTTTATCTACTGCTTTGGAAATAGAACCAAGTGGTAATTGTTTTTAAATACAGTTACTTAAAAAACAAATACAATTGTTTATTTTGATTTTAATAATTGTTACAGACCGAGGACTGAACGCTGCACGTTCAATCAGGCTAATTTAGCTAATTGTCCCTTTAGGCTTTCACTTTCTTACATTGGTAGGAAATCGAAATGACATGAGAGGTATAAGGTAGACCCCTGAAAATCTCATGGATAACATGCCTTTCAGCTCTCAAATACAGATGGAAAATTGCGATAAAATAATTTCATTAAAAGTCTGTTCTGCGTGTCCGTACATTGCAGAACAACTGTGCTGCAACCCTGGAGCGGACAAGCCCAGCGTATCGTCCCGCAAGCTGCATACAATGTACGTGTGCGACTTTTGCAGTGGTCTTTTCGCCGACGGAGAGGCCCTCGATAGGCATCGGTTGACATGCTTTATTCAGGATCAACCGACTTATTTCCCTGATCAATTGGTAACTTTATGAAATTTAAGTTTATAACATTAATTTTACTGACTTTCTTTGCACATGCCTCGATCGTATCACCCGATTGATTGTGCCATTATATTCTTATAAGTGGTTTTGTTTGATTTTAATGTGAAAATTACATAACTTACCCACTACTTCTTGAATCTCATCTTTTTTTGTTATTTGTAGAACACAGCAAATGTACCCTCCACACAAAGTCCCGAAGTTTTGTTTTCCTGCGACTCTTGCGGCAAGCAATATGTTTCCACGGAAGAACTGAAGATCCATACCATAGAATGCCAAAGACCCGTACCAGTTTCTCGTAGGAGTGATAGACGAGCGTATACAACTGCGAACAGCAACAAAATGTGGAATTGCGGATCTTGCAATCAATTGTTTGCTACTGCTAGGTAATCTAAATGCATTACTACAAAGCCTTTAATCTGTGTGAACTTCGTCTTAATTTTACTTAATCATCAATATGCTGAAGGTAGCATGAATGTTGTAAGACTGGACTCAGAATCGTTCCTTGTGGCATTCAAACGTTTCCAGCCCGATGAAAAACTCGCGGTGCAGAAATAAGTTTTTAGTGTGGCTGTATGGTGGCACTGTGAAATAATTTGACTTGTGATGGCGGTATAGTGTATAGGAGCCAATACGGGCGGGCGTTAAATGCATAATAGTCTTCTTGGTAATAGCTACTATTTATTACAGAGAACTATATCGTCACAAACGTGGCGAAGACCGGCCACCAGGGGCTCCCCTTATGGCGTATGTCTGCGAGGAATGTGATAAAGTTTTAGGAAGTATGTGTGCATTGCACACACATAAAAAAATGCATAAGGTTTCTAAACCGGTGAGTTTATAATACGAGTATATCTTATCGAGTTCATAGCTTTCGCGGTTGCTAACCACTAAATATGAACTATTTTATCACATCTAAACCGCGTATATTTGTTTTTTTCCCAAACAAATCACTGCCAGTCAACAGTTTGATTTTGATTGCCTCTCCCGATCGGAAACTGCGTCTCTTCCGAGTCGAGGCGCATAATTGCGATTCACAACTGGCCGATCGGAAACTTTTGACATTTCAAATCGGAAGATTCGTTGATTTAACTCACACATTAGATAGCTATAGTAGGAATCAGGTTCATCGTCCCGCTCGGAAACCCATCTGATTTCGAGACTCGGATGAGCTACCCGATCGGATCGATACCGATTTGAATTAAAATCAGCCTGCTGCTGTAACCATGTGACCTTTAAAGGCCTGAAACGTTAGTTTGTTTGAAAAAAAAACAGATGTATGCCATTTAAATCCGAGAAAATTTTCATTAATTAACAATATAAATATAATAAGAAGAGAAAAGTTTTATTTCCTATATGTATAATATGTTTTATATTATAGAGATTGTTCACAAAATTGTTTTATATAGGTATTGTGACCTATGTATCTAAGTAACATACGTACGTAACGTATTTGAGAACCTATTGACGTTAAAGACTTGTTTTTAAGTTCAAGATATCCTGGATCTGATTTTCTGTATAATCAGTTCGAGTGCAGGACGTTTGCGCCGGAGCAAGAATAATTTTATATGATTATAATCGCCTAGGACACTTGCGCCGTTTATTCAGCATCCAACATTAAAAAATGTTAAAAGTTATTGGCATACGTCCTCACACATACAAGAAATATACAATATAGTATACAGCAATAACGTTATAAGTATCCAAGAGGCGATATTTCGCACCTCAAGTATGAAACTTATGGCCTAGTCTTGTAATTAATTTTATTTTTGTTTGTAATGTTTATATTCATGAGTGGATAGGTTAAGCTTGCATCTAAATTTTGTGTAACTAAGTATATGGATATTATTGAATCAGGTTTAAATACACAAGTATAGAATTGAGTATGGCTTATTTACAAATTATCGCATCCTACTTACTTACACATAAGAGGTACCTAATGAAAGTTATACTGGTCCCCTGCTGAGTTTTCTTCGGTGCAAGTGTCTATCCCCAATTAAACAACTCCGGCGCATGTGTCCGTTTTTTCAGGTAAATCAATATTTTAATGCGCATTCATGGTTACGTTACTAGCTCAAATATCCTGCACCAAATCAGTTCAGAAAAGGCAACGTATTTTGGTTGTCTATTAGGATTTAGTACAGAAGTTAAGTTTTTAAATAATTTTTTTTAACATACTCATAGCGCCTTCAATTTGAAACTTGATTACAAATTAATTTAGAACAGAAGTTAATTTTTTAAATAATTTTTTTTAACATACTCATAGCGCCTTCAATTTGAAACCTGATTACAAATTAATTAACATATGAATTAGATTGTCAGCCTTGTTTATTTACTTATTGTTTCCCAGGGTTACCCGTGCCGCGTGTGTGGACGCCGCTTTAACCAGTCGGGCCACCTCGCTATCCACATGCGCATGCATACTGGCGAGCGGCCTTATCCTTGTGACCTCTGTCCCAAGGCCTTTAAAGTCAAGGTATTTTTCATACATGTGTTTTTTTTATGACAACAAGTGACGAGACGATTAAAGTCGCACGCCTGGTGGTAAGAGACACGCCTGTCCATTTGCAGTGTCACTCAGAGCTTTAAATCTCTAAGATTTGAGGAACACTGCCATTGCACTCGTTACCCTGAGACATAAACTGACAAGTCCCACATCATTCACCTTTCAAAACCGGAACGCTGTAACGCACACATAACCGGTTGGTGGCGGAAATAAGTAAGGTGGCAGTACTTCCTTGGACGAGCTCATTCACAACTCTTCTTCAACTGCTGCTACTGTGTTAAACTTAAGACTGTAGAGACACCCCAATAAGGAAAATCTATTCTAGTTTTCATATTCTAGATATACAGGACGTGGAATATTGATTAACTTCTCTTAGCGAAAATGAATTTGTTATGGTACCTTGTAACCGGCGAAGAAGTTTTTCAAGAATAAATTCAACTAAACTAAATCAAATTGATAAATATTTTTAATTACATGATATTCATCAGTTTTTTTTAAATACTTCACTAGTTTCTTATTATTATTGATACAAAGATCGAACAACACAAAGAAAAATTATTTCAATCGGACTTTACACGAATCAGTGTCTGTTGTCCCAACGTGGTCTCATAAATTTTTCTATGTGTTTGCTACTTGTATTGGGATCCAATCTGTCTAATTTGCCCCGGTTCGATAATTGTGTCAATAATAAAATCGGTAATCATTTACATAAATTAATCTTGCATTTCCTACACCATAATTATTTGGTTAAAAAATACGTCGTGCAATTAATTTTCTTCTTTTTTCTTTTTTTTATGCAGATTGTTAACGGTTGTGGCATAAAGCCATACAGGCTATTCTTCATTTTCGCTTCACTTTTATTTCAGTTTTCAATCTTCATAATTGACGTAAAAAGTAGAAATTGTGTAACTATAAATACCTTCATAATTTTTAAAACATCAATGACGGAAATGGTTAAAAACTATTTATTAAAACAAACGAACTTTGACTCTAATTATCAGTTTATTAAAGAAACCTTGATTCTTGCACAGAAACGATTGACATTACAATAGCGAGTAGCTTCCCCTAGCGATTTCCCATGAAACCAATCGACTTTATGAGTTCGTTTCCCCATTATTAAAGAGGTGTTAAATAAAGTACGAGCAAGCTGAAAAAATACTAGACAATAAAAACTTGGCTGGTTCCTGTGCTTTTATACAGAGTTCGTGTTTAGTACTTACGCCGTAAAACAGTACCACAGTATTAATTAAACGCAGCAAGTTAACTTCACATTTAAACAAGTTTTTATTACATTTATATTTTTTTCGTGGCAAATATATGTCGTATGATTATTATCGGTTACAAAAAGTATCTCCAATATCTTCCAGAGAATGTCAATAAAGTATGTTATTGATAAATTCTGGAGATAGGAGATAGATATAAAAACGGAGTCAGGTAGCAGTTCTATCCCTAAGTATTAAGTACTACACACTTACCTACCTTACATTGCAACATATCTTTTTCGTACGCAAACCGGGGAATCATCAAATCGATAACTTCAATGAACACTACGCATCTTAATTTTTTGGTCATCTCTGTTTTTATTTCGTTTTTTATGTCTACATTTTTTTTCACAAAATTGGTTTTTTTTTCGGATCTCGATTATATGAAGTTGAAGAGAATCAGTAACTAACTCGGAAACTTGCTCTTCGTATATTTTTTAATATCAATAGTCTTAACAGTCCACCAGTAGGTGAGCAAAAATTTATATAAAGTTTTTTTCACAAACTCAATAAAAGTAAAATTTTGAATAGGGTATTATATTTAGAAGAGTATTATTGGGGCTATGTCGAAACGACCGCTGAGAACAGCGAATTTATTTATTTTCTTTTTATGTCTATGACTGTCTTACATAAAAATAAAAATTTCTACAAATTTATTTCACAGAGATACTCTGGAACACAGTTTGTAAATTACCCGAGCAGCACGCTTCTGCAGAACAAAGAACCTATTAATGTCGGCAGCATTTCTTCATAGCAAATGTCATCAAAATGGGACATATCTAAAATAATACAATCAAGAGATTTATACATATGAAATTTGACAAAGTTTCTTGGTCGCGTGTACACCCGAGCCGTTTCGAAAGCTTAATTATAGGTGGACCCCATTGCAATTTGGCATCTAAATTTACAACCAAAATTCTTGTGTCTCCAAGATGCAGTGTTTCATTTCTAAATATGATGTTTGTGTATGTCTTGGCATTACGTAACGTAAAAATTACACAATTTTTTTCTAACGCACACTCTTAGCCACGCACTAGGGAAACGCTGTATCGCGAGTGCATTGGACACACATACACAACCACAAATTACACTGAATTTCTCTCGGCCCGGGAATCGAACCCGGGACCTTTGCGTGGCAGACCAGCATGGTTACTGTTCGCCCACTGAGGTAATTAAAATTAGTAATTAAGAAGCAGAATAACGATAAACCACTTTAATACCTTACAAACAGCAATGTCCACATCGCCATAGGCACATTAATGAGGAACTATCATCAGCAAAACTAAAATATCCTATAATATTCAATAACTTCCATGAGGCTATGTGAATTATTGATATAAACTTAAAACATTAATAAACTAAACTGAACTAAACTGCCTCAGTGGTAGAACGGTTACCATGCCGGACTGCCATGCAGAGGTCGCACGTTCGATTCCCGGGTCGGGAGAAATATTTGTATGGCCTACATTTATTTCTCTTGTGAGTTTGGATGTAATTTGTGGTTGTCTATATGTGTGTCCATGGCACCCGCGACACAGGGTTTCCCTAGTGCGGGGCCATGTTCAGTGTGTGCGTTATTATTATTATAAATGCACCTTGAATTGAACCTTGAGGGAGGGCGCCCATGTTCTCTACAGCACCTAATGAACGCGTACCATTTATATGGATCCTCTGGACCATACCGCTAATACGATTTAAAAACGTTGAGGTCACGCAGGCCGTGATCATAATCAAGAAATCCTGACCGGAATATCATGGTGCACAAAGTTAAATGTCTTAGCTAGAAAAGCTACATAGGTACCTACCACGAGTGAAATCTAATTGTTTGTAAAACTGTTATTTTTATGAAAGTGTGCACACAGCTAATTAGGAATAGTTTTATTAAAAATAATACTGAAGTTCAGAAGTGAAAAATAATAATAGGTCTGAAATCGGTTAGGGTCTGACATAGTATTTACTATGTTAGCAGCCATAGGATATAAAATATTAATTTTCTTGTTCTGGTAAGAACCAACACAGAACACAGAAGTGTTGTAAGTAAGTTTTGAACACAGAAGTGTCGCGTTATTAACGCGCTTAACAGCACTGCAGAATTAATGCTAGCATCAGTTTGACAATGTCAAATATTTGCTTGCATACTTATTAAATAACAATAGTTTTAATGAAGTTGCATGATTCCTGCTTTTTCGTTGTTATTCGTATTATTGGTTGAGACCAGCACGAAATTCTTTCGATCTGACCGTAAAGTGCAAAGTTAAATAACTGATTATCCTTGTATGAGCGCGTCCCCTCATGGTTCCCAACATTTTTTCCGCCTGATAACGTGTGTGATGTGCGCGGTACTCCGGTGCAGGTGGAGCGCGACGATCACCGGCGCACGCACACTGGCGAGCGGCCCTTCGCGTGCAGCGCCTGCCCTAAGACGTTCACCGCCGCCGCACGCTTGCGTGAACATGCGCGCATTCACACTGACCAGAGGTTAGTGTACCACTGTATCGTTAAAAACATAAAATTTATGATAGATACAGACGCAGAAGTAAAGTTGCTAATATAACTAAATGTAAAACGACTTGTGGAGTACGGTATAAAAGGCAACACAAGTAGGCAATATCTATTGCGATCAAAGAGACAGTCAGACACGTACGCTGTACCAGATTTACCTATAAGCATCCAGTCTCAAAGGGAACAATTCAGCGCCGTGAATTAGGACGTCGTTTTTGTTAGTTTTGTTGAAAATGTTGAAAACTTAAATTAAAAATTCCTAAAAAGCACAATTTGAAAACGCTTAAAGGATCCAACGCAATAGTCTTCTTATATATTAAGAAAGATCCTTATATATGTGGTTTACTTTACTTTAGGTTGTTTCTATAAACCTCCTGAAAGTATCACGGCTTTAAATTAAGACTGTACAAAATCAAATACAAAAAATGTACGTTTAAATGAATAAATAAATATTAGACAACGTCACCCAAGTTGCTCTGATTTCAAAGTGATTACAGACTAGTGTTATGGAAATCGGAAACAACACCGGTACCACAAACACCCAGACCCGAGACTATATTGAAAAGTTAGGTCTACATTGGCCCGGCCGGAGATCGAACCTGGAACTTTAGAGATAGCGATACCATGAAAACCAGCGTGCAAGCCACTCGACCAAGGAGGTCAAAAGTATACCTTTGTATCTACTCTAATACCTAATTATTATACTAGACGGTTATACCAATTGTGTGAGTGAGTGCGTATATATATACAGCCCCGCATGCTTGTTTAAACACAGTAACCCTTCTACATCCCGTCGCAAGGATTTCACACTGTAGAGGAAAAAGGTTTAATTTATTTTAATTTCCCGGAAAGCGAGTGGGTTTCCCTCGGGATTCCTTTTGCGCAGTGAAAAACCCATGGGTTTTGTTTCATCTGTATGGAATAACTAGGTAGAGTTTGGCGCAAGCAGGTTACGCATCATTCCAAAATGGTGAACTACGACATGACGTATAATTATTTGCTTAGAGATAACTCCTAGAAGCTTTTTTATACCATACCATAATATACACAAAAAAAAACAATCGAATTGGGAACCTCCTCCTTTTTTTGAAGTTAGTCAGTTAAAAATATACAAACATAATATTTGCAATTCGTAAATGAGATTTATTGTATATACTATACATTATATATAGTAATTATAACGGGAAAGTAAATTATTACACTCAATGCAGAAATGTACCATATATAAGGTAACATGCTAAATGTACCATGTATAAGGTAACATGCTAAACGAAAGCTGAGACAACATATACTAGAATTTCTCGTAATAAAAATTCGCAATCTAGTAAGCCGGTTAATTAGTAAGTAACTATAAACTAGCTAGTTTCATTTACAATATTAAACATATTACGTAATTTATGACAAAATTAGATCTATACACTACAATGTTAAATTAAAGCGAACTAGGTTGGTACGTATATTTGTACGACATCTAATTTTCCTTAAAGGAACAGCAACTCTATCTGCGGCGAAATAACAAAACATAGTTGTTAGTTACATAAAAGCTCAACAGATGGCGGTAACAGCCTCGAATCAGAAGAACATACGATTTGGAACCTTGGCATTTTAAGACTTTTATTGCCGATATTCTGGGACATGTAGAGCGTAGATGTTTTCGGCAAAATAAATTATATTGATTTTTGCTTTGGTTATAGTATTGCGCCAGTAAATCGTAGGAAATATTAACATCTAAATATTTGTAGCTTTTATCTATTTGTAGCTAGCTACATATATGGTAAACAGTATTATGTAGTCGTTAACAATTAGGGTAAAATTGCAGTAAGGGTTCGATATGAGCTTCACTATTTAAAGCGGAATTATAATTAAGTTATAGAAATGGCTTTTAATACCAAAACCTTTTCAAATATAACGCGAATAAATTTTGTATATTATTATATTAAACCCTTTAATAAGTAAATTAATTCGCTTTGATAGAATTTAAACATAGGAATTACTCCTTGTTCCTATATTTAAACTGTTTCCAAGCCTTCTCCTTCTTATAAAGAGTTAGGTTTTTTGCTGGTGAAGTAATCGTGTTTTTTCATGCTTACTCAGTTAAAATTTATGAAAATTCAGTTTTCGTTTCACATTGCGATCGGTTTTTTTTTATAATATATGTGACGGGACGAACAAGTCGTGCGCCTGATACTTAGCCTATCCATAGCAATTGCAGTACCGCTCAGAGCTTTAAGTCGCAGAGATCTGAGGGGCACTGCCACTGCGCCCGTCACCCTGAGACATAAGTTGACAAGTCCCATGTACCGCTAATTTAAACATTACTGCTTGGCGGCAGAAATAGGCAAGGTGGCAGTACTTACCTGGACGAACTCTTTCACAAGGAGCTTTACTGTTACTATAGGTATCATAATAAATGACGTTAGATTATAGTAATGCGTACATACAGTCACAGGTTTTGAAATTTAACTAAGAAATGAAACTATATTTTTACGGTTCTAAATCGCGTGTATTTGTTTTTACGAACAAATCAACGTTTCGGGCCCTTTACAGTAGGGCTAGCACAACAGGACGTGACTTACGCGACAGCGACATAAACCGCGCGATTTCTATGCGAAAATAAAAGTATGTCGCGCTTTATGTCGCTGTCGCGGAAGTCGCGTTCCGTCGTGCTAGCCCTACAGTACGCGATTTGCGCAACAGCGACATAAAGCGCGCGACCTCTATGCGAAAATAGAAGTATCTCGCGCTTTATGTCGCGCTCTGTTGTGCTAGCCCTACTGGTCACGGCTGACTGATTTTTTGACCCTAAAAAATAGTTTCATTTCCTATGGGTAACAATCGTTAAATCTAAAAAGTCGATATTTATCGAATAGTTTCAGGCGAGATATTTCAAAGCGAAGCTAGATTTTAGGAGGTGAGTTGTCGACGACCCCTTTCGTCCACCCGCGTCCCACAATCCGCGCGCTGTAAATTATTATGACTTTTTTTAATAAGGGACGGAACGGACAATTCGTGCGCCTGATGGTAAGCTACACGCATGTCCTCAGCAGGAGCGATGAAATGCAGAGCTTTAAATCGCAAAGATCTGAGGGGCACTGCCACTGCGCCCGTCACCTTGAGACATAAGTTGACTCACATCACTGGACGAACTCTTTCAGAAGGAGCTCTTCTGCTGCTAAAATATAACGAATAAATTAAGAATAAGTGGAGAAAGACAGATCCGATGTCGACAAGCGCCCGATGGCGACTGACGGGGCAGCAGGCGATTTATAAACCGCTGGGATTTGTTTTTGCAAATTTTGCGAATTTGCACATTTTTGGAATAAATGTGAATTTAATGACTAATAGGGCTTCAGTTGAAAACCAAAATTGAGCAAGTCAGTAATCCTTAGGTGTCTCGTACATTTTTTGTAAGACCGTTATTTAATAGTAAATACCTAAACCGTTCGATCAAGCAAAACAGTTTTTCCCGCTTCTCCTACGGCGACTCGCCTAAATAAGCCGATATTTTTTTATTCGACAATCTACAAAGGATGATAACTGCCCATAAATATGAAGGATTGTGTATTTTGTGTATTCTCTAAGTTTTTTGGTAGATCTGATGCTTTTCTGTTTTAAATAATTACTTGGAAACACTCAGTATTTTGCCATCGAAATATGTAGTTCTATTCTGGGTGCGAGGCGACCGGTTCTCGGTTTTATAGTCGGTGAGTATTTTCATGTTCCTTTATGAGACCTCACCCGTAAACCTGTATCTCGTATTGAAGTACTAAACTCATAATGAGTGCTCGTTTATCTGTGCGAAATATAAGTCTAAATGCATTTAAAGACTGGCTGTAACTGACCGAAGAAATAGTTTAACTTCCTGTTTAAATAAGATGAAATTAAACTTAAAAGCTTAGCCAACCGAATTGAAAATTTCGATACCTCCAATGAATAACTACGCCAATTTAACTGTTCTGTTTTTAATTTGTTTTTTGTTTCTTTATTTATTTATTTTTCACAAAATAGGTTTTTTTGATTTTTTTTTCGAATTTCGTTGTATGAATGCTTACAAAAACAACAGAAACTGACCAAAAAATAAAATTGGCATAGATTTGTTTGTTTTCTACACAAATTTGGATTATAGCTATTTTTCCTATATAGCAATTTGCCTGTGAACGTAATATAGATAGTAACTTCGACAATCCGTTTGCAGGTGTTTTTTTTTATACCAAGTGACGGAACGAACAAGTCGTGCGCCTGGTTGTTGTAAGCGACACGCCTTGTCTATATCAGTTGCAGTGCCACTCAGAGCTTGCAATTGATTGAATATCTGAGGGGCACTGCCATTGCACCCGTCACTCTGATATATAAGTTGATAACTCTCATATGCCAGTAATTTCACCAGCTTGTACACATTACTGCTTGGCGGCAGAAATAGGTAAGGTGGTAGCACTACCACCTTAGTAAGGTGGTGGTAGTACCCTGGACGATCTCTTTCAAAAGGAACTCTATTGCTACTAAAATTGTGAAATAATATGATTGCGATTAATCCGTTTTTTTGAAAACTTTGCACTAATTTTTATACAGATTAACGCAATGAACCTGTCTTTGAAAGTGTTATCTGTCTTTCGAATCAGACCATATCGATGCGACATCTGTGGCGCGGCGTTTCGCCGGCCGTACGCCCGCACCGTGCACACCCTTATTCACACCGGAGAAAAACCACACGAATGTGATATCTGCGGCACTGCTTTCAGGTTAAGTTTTGTAAATTACTTATTTTTTCATTTATTTACTAAGGTACGAAAGGAGTAGACGTTGTCTAAAATATTGGTCCCTCTTTCGTCTAAGCGTCAAAAATTCGTAAGTACCCTTAGCATAAAAAAGCCACATAAGATCTCATATGATACTCATAAAAAACAAATTATGTATTTGTGAAATTTTATAACGTCCCTAATTATACATAAAAAAGTCGACAACTATTTTCGTTCGTAGAATCTTTAAACCTCTCTCCTGAAAAGTTGTCATTTCGCTCTTGTGGTCTTATTACACCAATGGTGCTAATTATAGCAGGTACATTTCTTTCAAGTCCTTTCTGTTTACAAAATAACTGTAATCTCGGACCATATAACATTGGCACATTTGTAACATGTTAGTAGGTATCTGTTTCCATTTCGCAGACGTTCTGGCGATATGTGGAAACACAAGAGAACATTACATGGCATCCAAGCTACGGCCCCAGAGGTTTAATAGAATACGACGTCAGATTTTTTAAATATTTTACATCTTGAGACAAGCTTTATAGTGGTAAGGAATGGAATAAATTTAAAATGTACCCCTGGTTTAATAAAGGCACATGTAATAAATAATACGTCAAATGCGCTTTTATCATATGAAAGTATAAAAATTATATGGAATACATGAAACAAATTATGTATATGTGAAATTTTATAACTCTCCTATTTAAGCATAACAATGCTATCGGTTAATTTTTTTTCGGAGAATCTTTAAGCCTCTGTTCCAAAAAACATGGCCATTTTGTGAACGTGACCTTATTACACTAAGGGTGCGAGCATCCATTATTTTTTCGTTCCTCAATAACAACATTAAAATCTGCAAAAACTTGTGTTGTGGAGAACAAAAATTACACGAGTGTTTGATTGGCTTATCACGAGACAATACTAATGAAATAGATCAAATATGCTCGTGCCTTAACACCTGGACATTTGATATATTTCATGACTTTGATTTCAGCATTATAGGTATCACAGGGTCTTAATACTGGGCTGGAAATAGTTCCCAAAAAGCTATTAACTTGCTATGAAGAAGAGACTGTGTTTTAAAAGTCTTGTGCATGTTCTACAAACCAGTTCAATAATTAACAAACTGCGTGATTTGTTCTGTATGTTATTGTTGTTTGTCCTTTTTTTTATGATACCAAGTGACGGCACGGACTAGTCGTGCACCTGGTGGTAAGCGACACGCCTATCCATAGCAGTTGCATTGTCACTCGGAGCTTTAAATCGCAGTGATTTGCGGGGCACTGCAACTGCGCTCGTCACCCTGAGACAAAAGTTAACAAGTCACATGTGCCTGTAATTTCACCAGCACCTTTACGCAATAAAGCTCACACTACTACTGATAAGGTGGCAGTACTTCCCTGGATGAACTCTTTCACAAGGTTCTACTGCTACTACGAGTTTTCGTAGCAGCTATTTGCTGCATTACAAAGGTGATTTCAACCCGCGTTTTTCAAAACAAATTACGCCACAGTAACGAACTTCCTGGATGCTGAGCCTGGAATAATTTTAAACGTTCGTTTCCCACATTGGAATCGACGACCTCTCCACTCAACGCCTAAAGTGTCGCCGCGTTATGTCGCTTAGTGAGTGAGAGGTCGTTATATTCAAGGAAAACTACGGTTCAGACACACTTATCGCATACGTTTTGGACGGACAAACAATCTGTGTGTTGTGCCTTTACATTGCTGATTCGTGTAATCTCCTGCAGGACATTGGCCACCCGCATCTAGCCGCTGCAGTCCCCTTTTCTTAGGTCGTCCAAGTCTTGGGGCAGCGTGTTCTACACCACATTTTCTTGTTTGCTCAAGTTTGCTCCATCGGCCATCCGCCCTCCTGCAGAAACGTCCAGTCCAATGGCACTTAAGCTTACTGATTTTTTCATTCTCATTTATCGATTATTTAAATGTTGTTCGGTTTTCATCAAATAAAGGTTCAGATTTTAAATGCCTATAGGTTCCCAGGACGTATTTATCCTTCGATTCTAGTTACAGAATTACTTTTCTTTATTATTATTATTCGTTTACTTTTTCTGACAAGTGAATAGTAGTTCCCGCTTTTACCCTTTGTGTTTCAATTTAGGTAAGTATAGAGTCAAGTGCACGTTAAGCTTCACAGTTGCAAGAAAATTTAAACTCCACTCAATGCCAGTGATGATAAAAACGATCTAAAGCTTGATGTGCTCTTGACTATACCTTCATAGTTAATTTATTTGGAAAAAGCTTCTTTTCCGGTTAGTTTATATTGAATCTGATTTTGCAGCATGTTGCAACTGCTAGTATGCCACTCAAGTGCTCGATAGATAAATATATTTTAAGGATTGATACACAAATTGGGAATTTGTTAGGTATGACAAAAGAAGGTGATATAAAATGAAAGTCTAAGATTCTTCAACAGTAAATATTTATTATAAAAATTGCTCTTATAGCCACATTTCTGTTTCTATAATATATATAATATTTATGTTCATTCTTTGTGCCATTATTTCACAAAATTATTCCTGTTCTTGTTATTTTCGACACAACAGCTTAAACAATAATATATTACAATTACATATATCCTTCATTAGACAATTGGAGAAACAATTTGCGATTAACTCGTAACATGAGGAACGTTCAACAATTCGATGTGCAAATAAGTTAATACGTTTGTTTCACAACTTTCTAATGAGAGTTCTTTTATCTTATATATTCACAATTGTTTCAATAAAAATCCTGTCATTTTTGGTAACCAATGGCAATGAAAAACACTAAGGGATTTACACTTACATAATGTAATTATAAAGTTACGTATGTTTCGCCGGGCGCCTTTCTTGGAAAAGCTGCCGACACGAGAAGACGGATATGATGAGGAGACTACGATGATAACAATTATTGCTGAGGTCACAACACATTCGCGGGCATCGACCGCAGGATAACGGATTATGGCTAGTCGCAATGACTACACAAAGAATCGCATCGAGAGTATTCACAAAATTTAATACAAGTAGTGCCCACCACTTAGATTATACACAATTTTACATAGAAGACACGAAGTATAGGCTGAAAGAATTGCGGGTTCAGCGCTATGTAACGCTGGTTAGATAATTTACAACAACACCAGATTATTTCTACGAAAATGACAGGATGAAAGAACCATTTGAATTTTTGTGCACATTTGCAAGCTTTGCGGTGCTTCATTTTTCTGACGCACATGCGGAAAAAACAATAAAGTACATTTTGGAGATCATGAAAGTATAAACGAGGGGAATACAGACGTGATTGACTAATATTTTTAAGTACTTCGATAAGAAAAATATATAACTAAGCGACAGAAACACCAAACAATGCCCAAAATCGTTAGTTCAAAACATTGTAAGTAACCGTCGGGTACTTGCCGACTACGCTAACTTACTTAAGTAAATCATCACAACCAACCATGCGGACATGTTTAACAAAATATCTATGTAAGTATCGATTAAATTAAAATTGAGCTGAATTTAAACATTACCCGAGTTTAGAACCCAACAAGATTACAACTAAAACATTGTTCATATAGGTAATAATTATGTACTGGCGGAGATTTTGTGACGTCTTACCTATGAATGCATTATAATTTATGTAACTTGTAACTCGTGTACTTGAGTGTTTGGACAGAATAGAAGTGGTGGAAAGACCACGCCGTGGCGTGAGCTGCTACTCCACATCGACACAGATATAGTAAAATTATTAATTTACATCATATATTTACAACGGCCGCGTCTCATCGCGCCATAATGCCCAACTCCGTATATAATATGTACACTAAATTTAAGAACATAGAATTTCTCTCATTAGCTACCGAATCACAATTCAAATATTGAGTAATTGACAACGGTGGACAAACATGCCGGAGCACTAATGCATCTTACTATATTGAAATTTGTACTTTGCTCTATTAGAAGTCGTGCTAGGTTATGTTTGGTCCATGCAGTCCCGTTCTAGGGTCGCGCGACCCGGTAGCAAAGTTGTGCGCGCGCGCCTACAGAAGGTGGTCAGCTCTGCCCTCTTGTCACCAGAGACAAAAAGCAAATAAATCTAATGCACAACTTCAGTCTGGGAAACGAGAGTACTCAGTCAGTCAATAACGTAATGAAGTTTTGCCTGTGATAACAATGCATCAGACTGATGCGTTGGTAAAGTGGAGTGTCCCCACTTGAGCCGACTATAAGTCCTGAAGACGCACGACCACTTGCATTCCAATTCACGCGAGCTGCGTAAGACCCGCCGCTGAACCGAGCCAAGTGAACATTTCATTGCCATAACGCGAAAATTTGATCGATCTTTCACATCGCAGAGTCTTGCTGACTAGATATCTACACGCACCAGCGGCGGGTCACTCACTATTGCACCAGATTTCGAAAATGATTAAATGTTACAAATCTCAATGCACATTTCCGATAACAGTGATAGCTTTACAATTTATTAACCTTACATAAATTTATCATTTTGCAAAATTTAAGCGAAAATTCTAAAAATATTAAGTAAATCGGGTGTCTTCTAATGACGGTTTCAATACAAAACTAAGTATAATTAGAAACACTGCAAATAAATTACGTTTTTAGTATAGATTACTTTCATTAATTATTAGGAACTGTAAATTCACTGTTATTTAGTAGTAGTACCGTGGAGAACTGTTATATGTTTTTGTTTATTTCTATGACATAATATCTAAATAAAAAGTTCTTAATGTCTAAGTAAATTAGACCGTTGCTTAGAAGACTCCCGACATGGACAGACAGCTTGTTAAGCAATTCCGATGCAAGGATTATTTAAGTACTACAGCGGTCAGTCACGTTACAAATTCCAATTATTCAAATGCACAGGGGCTGCTGAAGTCAGGGAACTTTCATAGTTACAACTGGTAAGGCCATTTAATTGACATCCAGTTACAACACTGCCACGGGTGCAGCGGGTGCGGAACTATGGAAGTTCACAATTAAGTACATAAAGACATTTAATTACAATTTGATCATTGTTGCTCTACTAGACCTGTCCCACCGCGGCGACGACGTGGCGCGGGCGCAGGAGTCGCATAAGACGCGACGTTCTAGCGGCATAATATGTCCACACATGTGTACTTATGAGATCTTATTCGTGAGAGGTGTGCTCTTTCGATTATAGTAACTTAAGAATAGCAGAGGTAAACGTCTTAAAAATATATTCAAAATTATGAAAAGATCACACTTCCACGAATGGATGTTGCCTTAAAAATAACCCTCTCAAATTCGCGCTCGTTGTTCAAATACCCTTACAGTGAAAATATCAAGACAGAAATAATTTCAAACTATCACGTTTTCTTTCAACGAAATAATAAATATATAGCATTTTACCTAATTAATTAATTACACAATAATTTCAACAAAAATTTCAAACACCTGAGTTTTAATTTAATGAAATAACGTCATTAGCTAAGCCACTCCCAGTTTCGGTTTGGAATTCACTTAAAGAAATAAAACTATCAAAAATAACTCGGCTCGCATTTAAGTCCTGCGTCACGTCCGAAGCTAGCACCTTCCCTTTAGCAATTACATAATACTAACTACTGACTGCGTGTGCGCGTCACGTCGCGCGTCGCCTCGGCGTCGCTGGGGCTGGGCGGGCGCCGGCCGGGCGCCGGCCGGGCGGCGGGCGGCGGGCGGCGCGCCGCTCGACTAGAAGAGCCGCGCGGCCGCGTGTCGGGCAGCCGCGAGCCGCGCGGCGCCGCCTCACCTGGCGCGGCGGCCAGCGGAGGGCATATCACAGGCGCTCAAGGGGGCGCGGGCGACTCCGGCCCGCGCGCCCCCCACTAACTCGTCGGCACCAGCAGCCGCACAAAACTGTCCTCGCTCCAGCCCCAGTCGTCCGGCCAAGTGTCTTCGGGAGGATCCAGCGCCGAACGTGACGAGAGGCTCAACACGGAACCCCAATCGATGGTGCGTTGCTCCTCGTCGCCGTAGCCGGAGTCCCGGTCGGGCGGCGGCGGAGCAGGGAATGGCGTAGCGCGGCCACCGGCCGGGTCTCGCGCGTTCAACAACTCGCAGCGAGCAGCTCCATTCGCCGCACACGCTGCAGCCTCGAATGGTGCCTCTTCGGCACTCTCGCGCTCCATCTCTCGTTCGATGCCACGCAGAGTATTGCACACGAGCACAGACCGGCGCAGCGAAGGGTCCGCCGTCTGACGAAATCGCGCCAACTTCATCGCACACAAGTTCATCATCTTGACTCGCCTCTCGCGGTAGCAGCGTCGCGAGGCACAGCGGCCGGCGGCGCGGCCGTCGCAACAGGCGCGCGCCGCAGCACCTCCCAGCTCCAAGTAGGACTTGCCGTTCTCGGCACGGATGGTGTCGTGTGCGCCACACCAGCCGCCGCACCATCGCCGGCGACAGGCTCGCCTCTCTTCCTCTTCGCTCCGCCAACAATCTCCGCCGCCAGCACCAGCGGCCACGGCTTCAAGTCTGGCTATCGAATCTTCCCAGCGAGCGACTTTGCCGCCGCCCTCGCACGGGGAGCCGGCGCGCCGCTTGGCGCCGCACCCGCCGCCCGAGCCCTGCAAAGCAACAAAATCTCCGTTTAATTCTGAGTTTCCGCTATCACAATACCTACCATTTAGCTGATAGACAGATAGAACTGACTACCGACGATCGAGTTAGTTATTTGAAATTGGGTGTTGCATTAAAAATATTCAAACATCTTATAAGATTACTCGAAACCAAGTCAAGTCTATTCCGTATAGTCGAGATACCTAAAAAAATGCAAATAGTCCTATACATTGTGGAAACACGTCCATTTTGTCAATTTACTTTCCCGGATATAAGAATGATGAAAAGATATGGAGGTACAATGGTGTGTGGGTTGGCCCCAAAATACTCGACCGACAGTAGATACCCGCTGAGTGCCGTAACTGCCGACTGCGGCCCCGCCGATGAAAGTACCGTAAGCGACGCGTACCTCGCACCACACCGCTCAATGGGAAACTGACAGAAATTGGGTCAAAATTACATAATATATCTGCAAGTGTTTACTTTAATTTTTAAACTTAGTTACTTAGGAAAGCATCTTCGTACTTGTTAAAAGATGAATATAATGTGCTTTTCATACTACTCAAATAATATTTTACATGGTCGTTGTCAGTCTCATCAAACAGTCAAATTTCCGTTTCCTACATCCCTCTGCGACGGACTTACCGCTCCACGATTTGTAGCTTATTCACGATAAGGGATAGCAGACCGTCATACGGACGGCATATGACGGTACCTGGGGCCCGCCGATGTACCCATTGTGCGCGCCCCGACCCTTCTCAGGTTTTTTTTTGGGGACACAATGCGCTCGTGGGGCGCAGCCCCTCGCTGGGACACCTCAGGTAGAGACGTGCTTAATATTGCAACTTTCGGATTTATCAAACCAAATGCTCATGCATTCCTTACTCAAAAGATGCAAACTGTTTCTTTGAACGACACAAAAAATCTAGAGAAGTTCTGAAATCAATTGTCTCTTATTGTAATAACACCGAATGGAACTTATATTTTAAGTTTCCTAACTGATTGCGGTGGTCTTACCGTTCAATGATATGGAAGTTGTCAGTATATGGAATAGCAAAACGTCATAAAACGGTACAGACATATTAACGAGTTGTATCACGATTTAGAACTTACACACGTAATTGCTCATTCTAAAATAATTAGCAATAAAATTCAATTATTGGTATACTGTCTAATGGTAAAACTTGGAAAACTTTTGGCTTAAAAAAGCTGTAATGTAAACATACTGGTCAAATTGAATGCCCGATGATCTCGATAGTCTCTGCATGGATTGTCTGTGTTTAGATATCACAATCATTTCATTGTAAGTTTAGATTTGGTAGCGAAGATGTTTGTAATTTAAGCAGGCAGATCCTTGACCGTAGTGTGTGTATACTGGCAATGAAGAATGGTGAGTCTGTTGGCTGAATGTCCAGTGCAGGCGGCAATGAGCAGATGCACCCGCACCTGCCGTGATAATTAGGTGGCACACGCGCCTGCGTTGACCTAGGTATTCGCGTTAGTATCTACTCAAATTCTATACTCAACAGGGCAGCTGCTTGCAAATGATTATTATTCATAACAGTGTCGTTAGTGTAAACGGTACAGTTATAAATAGAAAAAGTTCTGGGTTTAGGGTGTTGTTGAAAGAACTTCAGATTCAGCGCTGAATTATTTGCAACAAAAACAATAACCAAGTCTATGCCAATTTTTAGGATTTCACGAAAAACGTAAATTGATTGCTATTTCTTCACAGAAGTTAGAATTGTTATTTTTTAATCCACCGCCGATGTTTGTTTTCTAGTCGATAGTACGATGCGCGGTAATTCCAAGTTAAAGAAAAATATTGCTTGTATTCCAACGAAACGAGAAACATGGGACAATGAATCGCTGGTGCGAAGCGACGAGTTGCCGTTGACTCAGCAGCAACTCATCGCAACGCTGCAAATAATCACTTTGCGTCACCCCTTTATCGGTGCGCGGAAAACGTGCCGTTCCACTGTATGATGGGCTCTGGTCGCCTCTGAGCTGTTTCTAGCAAAACAACATGTATAATACCCACGCAGTACAAGTTTAAAAAACAGAATTTACGTATATACTTCACGCGGCAAGCAAATGGCTGTATGTATGTAGTAGTGTCGTCGCCAGCGCGCTGGCGCTCATGAAAATAAATTTAGTAAATGACGTTGGCGGTAGACGTTGCCACTCCGCGCCCAGGAACGCGGCTACGCGACGTTGCCGCTCCGCTCGCTCTTTCTAATCTTGTCGTAAAGTTCTTTTTCTGATGCGCGGCGCGTCGCTCGTTCTCTCCGCTCGAAACTTGGAAACGTCTGACGTTTATTTTATAGCCAGTCTCGGATATGCGGCGTTTTATAACCGTACTGCTTCGCTATAGTGTGGAGCGAAGAGTTACTACTTATTTAAAATTACTGCCATAAAGAATTCCAGCACACATTTGCATAGGTACGAGGTTGTGTGCATCGAAAAGACTGTTCGGTTTGTAGGTAGCGCTGCAATTGTTTGTTCTATCGCCGCCGAGAAAATAGGAAAAGTTCGGTGCCGGCGAGGCGAGTCGAACGGAGACTTTCTATGGCATTGTAGAGACCAAATAGATGGCGGCACGGCATTGCCTCACAACTCGGTAAGCCATGTCGAGTGGAGCTCAGGCGGCAGCGGGGCGGCATGGCGCGCGGGGCGGCGGCGGCGGCGGCGCACAGGGGCGTTGCGCCTGTGTGTGAGCGCTGCACGTGCACGGCACACAGTCGCGCACATAATAACATCGCGTAGCGGCCGTCCGCTTCTATCTAGCGCTACAGCTACCTACGCCCGACAGCAACCAACGTTTCGTATTATTATACCCAACCATAAAGCGGAGTATCAAGCGAGAGGTGAGCTCTACCTCTGCTTTATGGGGCTGGGTTGAACCTGGAAATGCTATTGTTGCGGGATTCTAAATATGATAGCGTTAAGACCTCGAGATTGGCTACGATGTACAGGTAACGATGAAAAACTATAACAAGGGACCTACATGGATCGCCATCCATGAAATTCGTCAACAATCAAAACTATTTACTTACTAAGATATCTCTACAAGATGATTTTTTCATTCCACTGCTCCCACGCATAAGTGTTTATGAAAATAACGACATTATTTTTGACAACAGCAATTACAATAGTATTTTTTGCGGTCATTCATAAAATTACAAAACATAACTAAGAGCCTCCGCTACTCAGCAATATCGTAAAGATTGAATGACCGATTAACGATTTACGCTCCTTTTCAGTACAATACAATAGAGCACGTGATCGAAGCTCGGTAATTCCATTCATTCGACCAAAGGGTTGCCGCAGACCTGTTACTTGCCTTACTTATTTAACTGCGATTAGCGAATTTCCTGCCACTTACATATAATATGTAGTTTTTTTTTAATCGGGTATTGATTTTAAATTGATGTCTCTTTGGACAAAGTTAGTGCGAAATAGAATCAGAGTCGAATTAATGTTCCTTTTAATATATTTTTTGTAGTTCTACTAAATCTAAGTCATGTTTTTGATATTGATACATTCTTTCCCATTGTAATTTGACTTTGCTCATTGTTTCTTTTTCAAAATATTACTTGTTCAAAATAGTCTGAAAAGACGATTGTTCCTAGGCGTATGTAATTAAATAGAATAATAGGTGTGGAGTATCAGTATGAAGGCAGCAGCTTAAATAGGCGATGTCGGCGCCGACCAGCAGAGGCGGTAATCGTTGGCGCGTTGTGTCGGCGCGGCTGGCACGCACATTTCCGTGAGCGGCGAACGGCGAGGCCGCGCGCTCTTGTGTGCGGGTGGCGCGTACGCACGCATTGCCTGTGTACCTGTGCGCGCGCGCACAGAACCAGTCCCACATCCTGTTTGGTGGCCCGTCGCGAGCGCAGCTTCGAGCCGTGCTTCTGTTGAGCTTTTTATTTCACGCCTTTGGCTACTGCCCAGTCATATGGAATTTTGAACAGTTTTATCCGCGCTATTTTTTATCAATATTATATTGTTTGTTTAGAGTTTACATATGAAACACGGCACTCTCTTTCGACTTACACTACTTGCATTGTCTATTTACATCTATTTAACATTGTAGAACCGCTTTGAAGGAACACACGAAGATCATAATCAGATCATGTTCAATGTAGAGGTAGGAAAAAAGGATAAACTTTTACGGTCTATTTAGGATCTTAATAATTTTACCGTTAAGCAAAGTCACTCAAAGGCTTTCCAAAGTGACAAAAAAATTGTACAAATAAACCGTGAACAAACAAAAGGAATCCCTCAGGAATGTGTTCCGGCATAAAAAGAGAGGGAATTCCCGAAACGCGTTGTTTACAATGTGCGCGGATGTGTGCGAGACGTGGCGTTATGCGTTTATTATGATGAGTGAGTTGCGGCTGCGGCCACTCGATGCAATGAAAGGGAAAATTGTAGTTTTTGTGGCGGCCACCCGCGTCTGCCCGCGCCCGCACTCCGCCATCCGCCACTCGCCCGCCTGCCGATGACGCACACTGTTCCTCGAACGCGGCGCTTCAAATGATCGGAATGTCGGTCGACTTGCTCGCTCTCCACTATTGGGATATTTCCTCCTCTGCCGAGATCAGAATAGACTCGCTCAGAATATATCTGTATGTTACTCATTGTTTCTTTATAATTTTTACACTTATCATCGGACTTTGTGGTTTCTACTTATATTTATTGATTCCACAACAAAATCTGTTTCTGATTTCATAATTAGTATTCAATAAGTATATAGTATCTACGTCATGTATCTCGTATACGTTATTTCATACTCATAACACATTCTGTATAGAATTCTGTTCAAAGTTACTTAAATAATCAAGCAATAGGCTTCGCAGTTCAAAAGTGCGATGCAATAGGCTATGTTGAGAAGGTCGCACGACCCCATCATTAGGCGGTTGGTGAAAATTGCAGTTGACATAATGTGATTAACCGGCGGTACGGCACATGATGGGCCCACTGATTCAGGGTACTTGGCCGTTTA